TACTATCCAGTGTACTATCCAGTACCTTACTATAACCCATATCAAACTTACGCTCCTTTCACTCCGGCACCAGTCATTCCCACAACTCCACAAGTTCCACAGCAATGCATAGGTTAGTGTAAATATAATGAAACGTTGTAGTTGGCTTCAACAAAATTTTTAGGACCATGTGTGAATAATCAATGTCCGGCAGGATACACATGCAATGCTTTCAATGTATGCTGCACACAAACTGTCGGATGAGCCGCGAATGATCAATGTGCTGGTAGAGTAGCCGTACGGAGAGAACAAGTACTGAATGGTTATCAGAAGAACTAGATGACGTATTCAGTAAAACAGTGTAACCTAATGAGTGAATATGCAACACATCCTCCATCAAATCAAAAAGTTTGATACTATATAATGTGCAGGTCACCCTAATACAGCGCTGGGCAGTGTAGCGTAGATCGGTCTGTTGTTAATAAGCACTTCCAAAATTCGAGATGACAAGCCACTAAGATGCTTTAACAGATTTAACCAATCCAATAAGCGCAGAAGATGGGATCTATAGACGCCCTTTTTTCTTCACTTTAAAGTTCCCGTGGATAGTGCTGCATTTTTTAAAGAAACGCATTTCTGCTCTCTAGGAGAATAGTATTGGTCAAAAAATCTCCACTCTCGATGGTCTTTTCATTTACTCTGCTACAATGTATGCATACAAAGCTCCTTCTGCTGACATTCCAGTAGGTAAACAAACTTGCTTCTGCGAGTTGAAACTTGGCCGAATGATTACACAACGACGTTTTCAAAGGTCGCGAAAATAGTAAAGGAGACGCTCACCAAACAATCAGTTAAACGATGTTGGAAGACCGCACAGAACCACGCTGGGTATTACCGAAGAGCTTAAAATTGTTCAGTTACGGTTGTACGCCATTTGCAGCGAATCGTGAAGTAACGATATAAAAACCTGCATTTCTTTTGCAATGACCAGGGCGGTAGTAATTTGCCCCGAAACTCCAGTTAACAATCATCGTCTGCTCGCAGTTAACGTGGACGTTCACCTTGAAATAACGAACG